TGTGTGTTTAAAGAGTAGCTTTGAAGCACCCAACACCTGCTTCTCTGTCATATTGACAAGACTGGATTTGTGTTCCCGAGGGGTGCAAGTGATTCATCTCCTTACTTGTGTATATACACAAGGCAAGGTATTTTTTTGCTTTGCCTGATCAGCTTTAATGCATTCTCTTTGTTTCTGATCCTGACTGGAGCAACTCAGGATGACTGTAGACTCAGCAGCTCAGATTTGCATGTCTGGTTTTGGTGTATTGGTTAAAGAAAGAAGCTCCACCGTCAACTCCACTCAAAACAATTCAGGATTTTTTGCAGGCTCTTAGCTTTCCACTGATAACTTGCATGTAAACCAGAGGTTGGCAAGGTTTACCTCACCTGGGCCGGTTCACTCCCATGGAGATTGCTCTGTGGGCCGAATTGTGTCTGTGCAGACGCGATTTCTGGCATCTGTGCATGTGCAGACACGATTTCCGGCGCTGCAGAAGCGACTTGCCGAGTGACAGATTGATTTGGGGGCAGCTCGTGGGCCGTTTAAACGATCCCTGTGGGCCACTTGTGGCCCATGGGCTGCAGGTTGCCAACCCCTGATGTAAACAAATCTAGGGTCGAACTACATGTTGCACATACTTTCAGGTGTGTGCTAACAACCGCCTACTCTCTTTTTCACAAAAAAGCAAGTAGTCCACTTGGACTACTGCAATGTGCTCTACGTGGGGCTACCTTTGAAGGTGATTCAGAAACCACAACTAATCCAGAATGCATCAGCTAGACTGGTGACTGTAAGCAGCAGCTGGGACCATATAACACTGGTCCTAAAGGATCTATACTGGTTTCCAGTATGCTTCTGAGCACAAATCAAAGTGTTAGTGTTGACCTTTAAAGTCCTAAATGGCCTTGATCCTGTATACCTGAAGGAGCGTCTCCACCTCACCATCTAGCTTGGACACTGAGGTTCAGCTCCAAGGGCCTTCTGATGGTTCCCTCACTGTGAGATGTGAAGCTACAAGGAACTGGGTAGCAGGTCTTTTTGATAGTGGTGCCCGCCCTGTGGAATGCCCTCTTGCCAGATGTCAGCCAGATAAACAACTATTTGACTTTTAGAAGACATCTGAAGGCAGCCCTGTTCAGGGAAATTTTGAACAGTTGATGTTTTCTTGTGCTTTTAGTATTTTGTTGGAATCTGCCCAAAGTGACAACCAAGTTAGATGGGCAGCATATACATAATAAAATTATTATTATTATTATTATTATTATTATTATTAGGTGTGGAATCTGGACTGTATTCTCTGTGAGGAACAGTTGCAACAGAACACTTTAATCTGCATATTGTGTTCTCAGATCAGCAGATGTCCTCCTGGCAGGTCCTTTCCCAAGCCAGGGATAAGAGCCATAGCTCAGCATTAGAGCATCTGATTTGCATTCAGAAGGTTCTAGCTTCCATCTCCATTATCACCAGGTAGGATGGAATATCCCTTGTCTAGAACTCTGGAGAGCTACTGTGCCAGGGTTCTTATTGTCAATAATACTAAGGTAGACCAAGGGTCTGACTCCCTATAAGGTAGATTCCTATGTGCCAGTGTGTCTTTTCAAAATTTGGATGATAAGTTGTAGAGAGGATGGTTCAGCATTTTGGAATCTATGGCCGGAAAAGAATATTCATTTCCTACATAAAGTCCCTCCAGTTCCCCGCCTGTGCAAACTTCATACTATTTACTGCAGAATTCAATGTCCAAATTACAGTACTGAGCTACACCTCTTGAAATTATGTATGAATGCTGGCTAATTATCAAAGAAGTATGTTTTGGCATCTGGCTGTTTTCAAAGCATGAGCTTCCAGAGTTTCGTCCTTTGAATTTATCTTTATTAAGCCCTTGTCCAAATGATAAATATACACTGCCTGCTTGGTATCTGTCACTTGGAAAATAAATCACTTTAGGATTGATTTACTAACAGCTTTCTTCGCTTGGCGTGTCCTCCTGACTCGGAGGTCACACTGAAGCCCTTTGCAAACAAGTACACACAAGCAGACTTGAAATATGTGGGAAAGGGACCTGGTAGCAGCTTAGAGTTAGCGTTGGATGAATGTGTCTGTTTATGCAACAGCTTGTGATTTTTTTAAAAAGAAAACTCATCAGCACCACAGTGCAAATTTCTCTGCATTTTGTGTGTGTTGTTTTAGTGTTGTTATTTTCTGGTCACATGTTTGCACTAAGGTAGGCATGACCAAAGTCTGTTTCAGGGGCCTAATTCTGCCCCCTGGCTGTTTTTATTTGGTCCCTGTGGCAGTTTATTTATTGGGGTCAAATCCTACAAAAAGCTCAACAAGTTCATTCCCAAAAAAAACTTTGAAAAAAGTTTGGGCACCCCTGAGGTGTCTCAAAGTGATTTGCACAATAAAAAAAATAATCACAGTAACATTAAAACCATATGTAAAAACAAAAATAAAGAAGAAAACCCTAAAATACTCATCAAAAATACATTTCAAGGAACAAATCTTACCCTTCTCAAAGGATGAGTACAAAAAGGACTATTGACATACATGTTCATGTGCACACATCATTGCAATGCAATTTCCTCTAATACGATGCATTCTTTGTGTGTTATTGTTGCAAATACATGTGTTTTTTATGCACATTTCAGCCTAGCATATTCATTTTAGTACACTACTGGAGAACTCTGTTGCAAAATTAGAAGTGCGGATTTTGGAGGATGTCTGTGTTTCAGTTTACATATTGTTTCAAAAAATATGAATTAGGTAAGTTCGTCTTTATACAAGAAAGGAGTCAAATCTTTTTCCCATTTCCTTTGCTAGAGTGCAAAGGATGGATGATGCAGATTAGGTGGGCTTAACTTTAAATGTGAATTGAAGTGAGTTTCTGATAGTAAATAATGTTGAGCGAGAATTGTAAAATAACAAAAGGAACTAGACAAGGCTGTCCATTGTCACCTTCATTGTTTATAGTAGTTTTAGAAGTTTTGGTTCAAAGAATAAGATGTAATCAGGATATTAAAGGAATAAGGGTGGGACAAAGAGAGTACAAACTAAAAGCATTTGCAGATGATGTGGTGATATCTGTAGCAGATCCAGCAGAGTCAAAAATTTTTTGAGAAGTAGTAGGTCTTAAAATAAATAAAAATAAAGCCAAGCTCCTGGTAAGAAATATTAAAGATGATGTTAAGATTAAACTACAAGTCATATCCGGTTTAAAGATTGAAAAAAGGTTAAAAATTTAGGAGTACAGTGGTACCTCAGGTTACATACGCTTCAGGTTACATATGCTTCAGGTTACAGACTCCACTAACCCAGAAATAGTACCTCGGGTTAAGAACTTTGCTTCAGGATGAGAACAGAAATTGCGCGGCGGTGGCACAGCAGCAGCAGGAGGCCCCATTAGCTAAAGTGGTGCTTCAGGTTAAGAACAGTTTCAGGTTAAGAACGGACCTCCGGAACGAATTAAGTTCTTAACCCGAGGTACCACTGTATGGTTAACAGCAAAGTGTATCAATTTGTGTAAAGATGATTATTTGAAAACTTGGGAGGATATTAAAAGCAACTTGCAAATATGGGATAGGATGAAACTTTCATTGTTAGGTAGTGTCGGCCATTAAAATGAATGCATTACCAGGGATGTTATTTCTATTTCAATCAAGACCAGTGATTGGCAAGACAGATTGCTTCCAGAAATGGCAAAAAGATATTTCTAAATATATCTAGCAAGGGAAAAAAATCGAGAATAAATGATAAAATACTGATAGATTCTAAAGAGAGAAGTTTTTCCCTGCCAGATATGAGATTACATTATGAAGCTTCCTGTATGTGCTGGTTGAAGGAATGGTTGTCATTGAAGAATTTGTATATCTTTGACTTAGAAGGTCATGATAATATATTTGGCTAGCACATGTATATGTTATGAAAAGCTTGTAAAGGATTTACAAGCCATATAATTAGGAAAAATTTGTATAGCGTTTGGGACAAATATATAAAACCCACTTTGGCTTTCACCAGTAGAAGCTATAGGGGTGAAGAAGAAGAAGAATATGATGGAAAACTGGGTAACTTATAGAAATCTGTTAAAGGAGGGTGGAGAATTTAAATTAAAAGAGTTTAAGGACTTATTAGCAATGTTAACCACATGGAAACAATATCACCATTTAAACGAAGTATTTATAAAGGATAAGAAATCTGCAGGAGGAGTATCTCAATTAGAGCGAGACCTGTTAGATTGTAATGTTAAAATGATGTCTAAAATGTGTAAGTTGCTACTAGAACGGGAGACAAAAGACGAACAAGTGAAATCATCAAAGATACATTGGGCCATAGATATTGGTCACAATATAGAAATGGAGCCATGGGAACGACGGTGGAATATGAATATAACATTTACAGCATATTATGGTTTAAGAAAAAATTATATGAATATGTTATATAGATGGTATCTAACATCTACCAGATTGGTCAAAAATGTATAAATTGAAATCGAATAAGTATTGGAAATGCAAAGAGAAAGAAGGTACTTTTTTCATATGTGTTGGTCTTGTAATAAAGCTAAAGCCTACTGGGAAATGATATATAATGAATTGAAAAAGATGTTTAAGATAATGTGTGTAAAAAAACCCCCAAGAAGCTTTTCTTCTGGGAATTATGGCATCAGAGGTACCTAAACAATATAGAAATTTATTTATGTATGCAACCACAGCTGCAAGAATGGTATTTGCCCAAAGATGGAAATAAGAAAAATTTGTATAGACGAGACAAGAATAGCTACAGAAATTAATGGACTACGCAGAAATGGTGAAGTTTACCAAAAGAATAAGAAGCCAAGACAACAAACTCTTTAATTGGGAATGGAAATATTTTATTAAATATTTACAAACAAATTGCAAGCAAATTAAGACATTAGCAGGATTATTGTAAAAATGTGCAGCTGCTAAAACATATATGAAATAGATGAGAAAAAGTATAACTAGTTTTAATTGGGAAATGCAAGAAAGAAGAGAGCAAATTTAAGGAACTGCAGAAAGAGCGGGAGGTTAGTCAAGGTTTAACATGCAACAATGACTTTTTAGTGTTTGAAATATTCATTTGTTATCAATGAAAATATAATTTTCTTTTTTTTTTATTTAAAAAATGAAGTGAGTTTCTCCCTGGTCCCTAATTGGGAGAGACGTATAGGAGGAGCTACCAAAGGGTTGTGATGCTAATGCGCATTAGAATATATTTTCCATGATCCCATCAGGGAAGCAGGCTCCTCTGCATAGATCCTCTGGCTGAATTGAACAACAGAGCATCCAACTTGCACTGAATCATTTGGGCAGTGTGCATGGTTCCCATTGCTAGGCTAGGGACCTGATATGATTGTTGGTACCTTTAGCCAGGGCTGAATCTATGTGTAGGTGACCAAGTGTAATGGGCCCCTTAGTGTTACGGGAATCTGGCATGAGGAAGAAGGAGAAGCAGCAGATGGTGGGCTGGTGGCTGGCATGCAGGTATGAAGAGGGGGGTTCTCCCCATGTGACTCTAGGTATCGGACAGAAGGAAGCTCAACTGTCAGCTCTCTCCACAGAACCTTTTGCAGAGCACAGAGCCTCATCAGGTAGGGATGAGGACTTCAACCAGTCAGAGGGAGAGGGCTGAATAGGAGGTGGTGGTGATGGACCTGGAGGCAGAGGAATGGGACACAGTCCTATGAATGAGATCCAGGTACCATCTTCATAGCTGGGATCAGACACACCCATCTGGACAGCACATGTGCACATGGCAAAACTGTAGGGTGAGAATCTTGTGAGTGAGCTCCACCCACCTTGTATTTAAAAGCTTGGCAGGAAGGGTGTATCAACTGTTGGGATATCTTCAAAGCTTCCATTCAGTTATAGGCTTCATGCCTTGTTCATGTACCTTTGGACAGGATTCTGACAGCCAGGGAACCACACATACCATGGGCTATTTGCTTCACTCCCCACTAAAATAAACAGTACAAACATTTCATTTTGAATGGTAATTGTGTGGCCATTAACTATGAGGGGCTTGTTGCTGTTTTACTTGGAGGAAAATGTGTAACATCAGAAACCATTCAGTTTACAGTGTGTATGTCAGTGATTGTGATGCACGTTTATTGCATTATACTATAAATTTATTGCCTTATACCAAAGGTTTTCAACCTTTTTGAATCCATGGCTCCCTTAACCAACTACATTCTTTCTGCAGCACCCCTGTGGGGCTCAGGAGCCCAGTTGTGAAGAGAGCCCTTGCCTGCAGAGCTGGCAGCCTCTCACTCTTTTTTGAATACTCTCCCTTGTGGAGTGTTCCCCGAGCCTCCTTTCCTCTCCTCTCTCCTTGAGAGTCTTCTGGGCAACTGCTGCTGCCGTCCTTTGTCTCTGAGCTTCCCGCCCCCTGCCGCCCCAAAGACAGATGCCCCCAGAGGCACCATTCACCTGTCGAGCTTATACCCAGGCTGCTGCAACAGAAAGCTGTACAAGCCTTGGGGAGGCAGAGACATGAGAGGGCATCAGGAGGGAGGGAAGAAAAGAGGTACAGAGGCTAATGTTGCCCACGGCACCCCTGACCATAATTCAAGGCACCCCAGGGTGCCATGGCATTCTGGTTGAACACCACTGCCTTATACCACAAAGATAAGCAATAATAAGTCATTCATATAATTTACAATGTTTAAGTCAATAGTGTGAAATGAGCTACAAATGGATTTCTTTTAAAGTGTTCAGAAGTTGAATAAAATGGAGGCAGGGCACTGAAGATATTTGGTGCTTCATTTAACCTAAGCTGGCCTTCACTTTTAGATCACTTTGTCTGGGGCAGCAGTGATGAGGGGGATCCAAGATCACACCCCACAACCAAGGAACTGTTGAAACAGCTTACAATAAATGTACGGTAAAATACATGCATATAACACATAACAACATCACCAGGTACATTTAAAAAGACTACCCACTAAAAGCGGCCATCCACAAAAGGCATTCTAAAACAAGAATATTCTCCCTCAACCAACAATCTAAAATAGCTATCAAACCAAGAAGGTATGGTTGCTCAAATGCCTGGGAGAGTAAACATGAGCCTATTTCAGGTCCACTTCTCTTCCCTCCCTTTATCTCTGTCCCCTTAATCCTATCATTCTATCTTTTAACATTTATCACAGACTACTTTCCTCACTGGGAACCAGTCTCATTAATCTTGACTGAAAAGTGCAATATAGTTATAATAAATAAATTAGTGCTCTGCTAAAACCTTCCCTACAGTCTCTGATTTCTTTGAAAGCAAACACGCATGCACACGCATGCACACACACACAAAGGTTGTCCCCCATCCCCCAAAAAGGAACAACTGCCAAGTGTATGGTAGAACGTCTTCTTACAAATCTCGGAGGGCCCAACCAAAATATGCCCTATGGAGTTTCGGGAAGCACAGGAATTGGGAAAAAGGAACTTGCTTTAGTTGCATAGTAAAACAAGTACAACTAAAACCATGCATCCAACCCCTGATAAATCCACCATTCTCTCCCCCACCCTTTAGTAATTTTTGGATGCAATTTCTTTTTTCATTCATTGATAGAGAATGGTAAAAAACAAACACACATACACACTGAGGGAATTTTTTTGACACAACACTTAGGTAAATACACAAACAGGTTGTATCCAATGTTAACCCTACTCAGAGTAGACCTGTTGGCATTAATGCACATGACTAATTTAGGCTCATTAATATTAATGGGTCTATTCTGCGTAGAATTTATTTATATATAAAAAAAATGTTTAGGGGTACTCTCATTTTCCCACTCATATTGAAATACTGCCCCTCAATGAGGCCAAACTTAGATTCACAAAACGTTTAGGGGTATGCGTACCCCTGCGTTCCCCCAGAAAAAAGCACTGGATATAACACATACTCATTAGTCTTCCTAGTTCTATTTGCCTTCTGGATTGATACTTCTGTTTCCTGAGTTATGTCTTTCATTTCTCCCTTTCTCTGGGATTGCTTTCACACTGCATTTTCTGCAAACAAGGGTTTATTGTGGCATCCATGCAACATAAGCCTTATCAAAATGCCATTCCATATAATCCAGATGTAATATTTATAGGGGGGTGAATTAACATTACAGTTGTTGTTGTTGTTGAATTGGAAGATCTGGATTACGTAAATGGGAAGAGAATGTGGGATGGTATTTGGATGTGGACCACATTGTGCAGATGCTGTGAAAAACCTGCATGCCTGAGCAGCACTGGGTCCATGATAGATTATCATGCTGATGCACCCTGGATTTCATTTGCCCCTAACATCTGCCTTTCTCCCTCCAGGCATTTACTTAGCATCTGAAAGCATCTCTCTTCTCCCAAGCCTCCCAAGTGGCTAACTTGTTGCTTTCTAGGTGTTGTTGGACACCCACTCTCATCAGTCTCAGGGAGGCTGGTCAGGGATGATGGGAGATGATGATGATGATGATGATGAACAGTTCATATAACCACTTCACTATAGTAGTCTCTAAGCAGTTTACAAAGAGGGAATGCAAATAAAAAAACAAAAAAACAAAAAGTTAAAACTATAAATTTAAACATAAATTATAATGCCTGCTGAGTGGGTCCCAGAAGTTCAGATTCATGGTCCAGCAACATCTGAAGAGCATCACTTTAGCAACACTTGTTTTAACTTCCCATCTCTTCACCTTCTCTTTCCTCCTCCTCCTGATCTCCCTTCCCATCCTAATTTGCATTTCTTTTTAACAAACAAAAAATAGATTATTAAGACAAGCCTGAGAAGAGGCTTTGTTCCATTTCAGATTAACTGTTGTACATTACTGCACCTCAAGGTGCTGTGTTCATGTCAAGGCCCTTTGAAAAGGTTGCTGGTGGGCCTCGTACTCTGAGGGTTGGTGATGATGGCAGTCAGTTGGCGCAGCCATCTGTGGATTATCTCCCCCCAAAGTCAGCCTTCAAAAGTGAGCAAATTGACTGAGATATTCTGTGATTCACATCTCTCTTACAGCCTCTTATTTAAAACAAACCAGGCTGATTAAAGTAACTGCAATTAAAAAGAAAGAAAAAAAGAAAGAAGGGAAGAAAGAAGGAAACCAATTGACCTTAAAGTACCTCATCAATCTTCCAGCTTCTCAGTTAATGTGGAAGTGATTACAGACTGGCGATAGTCTCTTGGATATTGTGTGGCAATCTTTTTCTTTCTTGAAGCTGTGAGAAAAGGATGGGAGGTGTCACTATTACGTTGTATAATTTTGCATTGATTCTACTCTTCAACGAAAACACTATATACTGGGGTCAAATACTAGCCTTCGATGTTTTGGCATGAATCCAGGCAAATTGATACTACTTGGGGGAGGGTTGTAGCCCAGTGGTAGAGGAATTGCTTTGCATGCAGAATGTCCTCGGTTCAATCCCTGGCATCTTCAGGCACAGCTAGGAATGTCCCTTTCCTGAAACCTTGGAGAAGCTTCTGCTAGTTAGTGTAGCTGATTCAGTATAAGGCAGGGTGTCTCCAAACTTTTTTCAAAGAGGGCCAGATTTGATGAAGTGAACATGCATGAGGGCCGATCATTGACCTTTTTTTAGAACCACAGGGAGGAACTGCCTATGGGGGCCGGATTGAACCGACCGGCGGGCCGGATTAGGCCCCCAAAATGGACTTTGGACATGCCTGGTATAAGGTGACAGTGTGCCTATGACCTTGTGTCTTTTGGATTAAGGTTAGTTGCTTGTCTGAGCAGTTTGCAGGCTTGAGGGTGTGGCTGTGTGCTCTTGACGGTGATGCCCTACCTGTGCACTGCCACCTTATACTGTGTAAGGCAACTTCCTACATTTTAGTGCATATAGCCTGAGTGTTCTGAAACTACTGCTTGAAATGTAGTGTATCTGATAGTAATTAAGTTAATGAGCCCATTTGTAATGTGCCAGTAATACACCACTGAGCTCCTTAATCATTGCCTTATGCTGGGGCTCAATCCTGCCCAGATGTGGAACCTAGGGTCTCTTCTGAAGAAAAGCTGGTATGAGCAGGACAGCCCAAGCAATCTCCACATTGTCAGTGATGCTGAAGAGTGGATGGATCTGGACATCTGTGACCTCGGACTGGAGGTCATGACGCCATGCCCTCCTACCCACGGAATGAAGAACTCAAACTTGGATAAAGCTCCCCCCCCAACCCCCCCCATGGGGTTTAATGCTCAGCTCAGTATGATACACAGGTAAACCTCAAATGCACAGTAGGTGTGATACATGGCTAAGCAAGCTAAAACAATGACCCAATGGTTGACATACCCCCAGACTGCAGTTATAAAGGTTGGGCATGACTTTACTGCTGCAAGCAGGACCCATCTTTGGACTTGGCCAGCAAACGGGATAGCTAATAGTCACTGACAGCCTTATATTTTATGCTTTCTTTTGCTGAATGTGATCGTGTGTTTTGGACACCTGCAAAGGACGTTTCTGTGTCACTATTATATAATGGATTAACAGTGCGATCCTATGCATTTTTCTACAGAAACATTTTCAAGAGTGCCTACTCCTTTGTACACATGTTTTTAGGATTACCGCCTAATTATTCAGTTTTGTTCTTTAACTGTGTTTTTTAGATAGCAGAAAAAAGCCTTTTGTGAGCTCACCGTACTTTTTATTCCAAAATTCATTCTATTATTTTCTTACATTTTACCTGCAGCATTTTGCTTTTGTACAATTCCAGCATTTTTTTAAAAAACAAACAAACGAATTATCCTCCTTTCAATCTCAGAGCTGTTAATATGCCACTGTCGTTACCACATTTAAATGAATTTACGAATTAAACATGTTAATGTTGAATTAATTATCATAATACTCTGGGAAGCAGTCTAATTAGTATGCGCCATATGCATACAATGAAGTTGGTATCTATGCAAAGTAATAAGATAAAATCACTGGCTGTTGTAGATTTGACCTTCTAGATCTGGTTGGACAAACAACCACATACCTTTAGAATTCTAGTTGTCACTGCTCATAAGAAGAACTCCACTGGACCAAGCCCAAACCTTATCTAGTCCATCATCCCATTCTCAAAATGACCAACCAGATGCCTATGGGAAGCCTTCAAGCAGAACCTGAGTTTGCAGAGGCACACACATACAAAAAAATTAATAAATAGTGGCTAAATCTTAGGATTCTCCCAAAATTGTAGATAGCTTCCTCTTCTACATGGGTGGTGTTATTTTGGCTACATAGCCTAAACATCCCAGATAGAAGGAATAATTTTTGCAAAGTCCTTAATGATATGAGATGATTTGAAAGTGAAAAGAGAAACACATAACATCACATTATGAAAATTATTGACATGGCATTTATGCTCTGTTGAATAACTGGCTAATCTGCACTCTTTGGTAACTTCCCTACAGTGGAAAGGCTTTCACATGGGAAGCCTTGAATTCAGGATTTAATGGGATCAGCAGAGATTTAAGCTCACTTTCCTGAGCCTCTACTTTTTCTTAAGTTAAAGGGACCCCTGACCATTAGGTCCAGTTGTGACCGACTCTGGGGTTGCGGCGCTCATCTCGCTTTATTGGCCGAGGGAGCCGGCGTACAGCTTCCGGGTCATGTGGCCAACATGACTAAGCCACTTCTGGCGAACCAGAGCAGCGCACGGAAACGCCGTTTACCTTCCTGCCTGAGCGGTACCTATTTATCTACTTGCACTTTGACGTGCTTTCAAATTGCTAGGATGGCAGGAGCAGGGACCAAGCAATGGGAGCTCACCCCGTCGTGGGGATTCGAACTGCCAACCTTCTGATCAGCAAGTCCTAGGCTCTGTGGTTTAACCCACAGCGCCACCCGTGTCCCTCTACTTTTTCTTAGGTCCTAGTTATTCCTGTGGAATTTTCTTACCAGTTAATTCCACCCCCCAATTATTTTTCAGCTTGGGTTCTTTACAAGGCAGTTATTTGATTTGTTGATTTATTTATTTTTAAGGATCAAAACCAGGGCTGTGGGCAATCCATGCACAAAAGAGAAGAGCAGGCTTTCCTGTGTTAACCGGACGATGGTGCTCCTCTCAATGTATGTGAACAAAGCTTTTTAAAAAAATTCTATAACACTCTGATCTTTCTTCCCATATCTGAGATAAGAACAGCCACTCTGTCCCATAAATGCATAATAAAATGTAATTTCAGCTCAAATCTCCATTGCATGCTCTGGGAATTTGGAGCTCAACCCCAAGGGTAAGGCAACCTGATAAGCTCCAGCTCACCAAAATGGTAATGTCCATCATGGCTTGAATCTAATTTGAGAGCTTCTTTGTAGTTCACTTTCCTATGTAAGCAGACCTGAAACGTCAAACCTAATTGAGGCAAAGTATACTGTGGACTTTTCATTTTTTTTTATAATGCAGCAATGATGAAACAGCCTTTGGTCCTGGAACAATAAATGTTTAATACCACTTTTGTCTTTCTCTCTGAAGAAAACAAGCTACATCAAAAGGCATCGGGAGGCTTGTTACTTGATCAATTATCCTTAAGTGACAAACCCCTGAACTCCTTTCAGTGTGTTTATGAACTTGAGGCCAAATGAAACGTGACATGGGAATTCTTCACCATTTTGCTTCAGAAAGATAGAAGCAATTGGGGTTTGTGTGTCCCAAAACTGGTATCACAGCACCAAGGAGGGGTGTTTTAACTCTACACTACTTTTTTCAATCAACACCTCGCTCCGCCCACATGGGACCCTTATCTTTTCCTCCTTCAAGCAAATAGCAGCTGGGGGGTTATTAAATTCCCTGTCTCTGGTCCCATTGCATCCCCAACTGTTATTGTTGTTGCTGGATATTCCGATAATAGATTGCCTTCAGAGAGAGATTTCCTTTCACCAACATTGCCTCCTATAACCCTATTGCCAAGCTCAAGAGCCTATGTGAATTTGAATATTTAACACTATAAAGGTAAAGGGTAAAGGGACCCCTGACCATTAGGTCCAGTCGCGGACGACTCTGGGGTTGTGGCGCTCATCTCGCTTTACTGGCCGAGGGAGCCGGCGTACAGCTTCTGGGTCATGTGGCCAGCATGACTAAGCTGCTTCTGGCAAACCAGAGCAGTGCACGGAAATGCCATTTACCTTCCCCCTGAAATGGTACTTATTTATCTACTTGCATTTGATGTGCTTTCGAACTGCTAGGTTGGCAGGAGCAGGGACCGAGCAACGGGAGCTCACCCCGTCGCGGGGATTTGAATCACCGATCTTCTGATCGGCAAGCCCTGGGCTCTGTGGTTTAACCCACAGCACCACCCATGTCCCTTATTTAACACTATTGGAGCTCCTTAAATTTTGACAATGCTTCTTATTTGCTTCAATAAAGGATAATGAGCTGGATGCCCATATATCTCTGGCGCTTTTTTTGTGTGACCTACTGTGGAAAGTAAGAACTGCATCTGTTGCTTCGCCTACTTTTGCCTCTAGCTCCACCCACCACAGCATGTGGTAGGCTGTCCAGGAGGAAATGTTGTCCTCCCGCTGAAAGCCATTCCCCACCACACTTAATAGTGCCTAGTCCCTTTGGGCTCCCAAATAAATAGGGTTGCAATCTGTAATTGATTAATTGGCGTGATTTAGCAACTGAAGCCTTAATAGCAGATTAACATTTCAATTGCAGATTGAAGTTTGTCCTCTGGTTAATTGACAGGAGAGATAGCAAGGACAAAAGTTTATTTGGAAGCAAATCTTTTTCAGACTTAAAAGGAAACTTTCCTCAAGGGCACCTTCACAATGAGTTTTGGCAAAACTTCTTTACACTGAATTAATTATTTGATCAATTAATCTCTTAAAAGGTAATTAAGAGAAAGTTAATCAATTAAGAGAAAGTTTAAGTCCTACACATTGATGGGTTTGCAACAAGTTGATGGCCCTACATAGAAGTAGTTGTGGCTGCAATCCTGTACTTGTGAGAAGCAATGGAGAAATGCTCGTGAATAGACACATGGGTGGAATCTAGACACATTAAAAACGTTGTAAAAATCCTTTTTTTAAAAAAATCGTTTTGAAAAATGCATTGAATTTGCTGTATCTCACTGTCACCATCTAGTGTCAAAATTGTATATTGCACTTTACAACACATTCAAAACATTTTATTTGCAGCTGTATATATGAGTCCATGGTGTTTGATTCTTACTGTCTTTCTTCTTAGGGAACATCCAGATGGTAGCTGCATTATGGGGATCACACCCTTAGAACATGGTACAGAAATAATTAAGCGCCTTTAAATTTTATGGAAGTTGAACTTCTGGCTACAGATCATCAAAATGAAAACAAAGGGATTTAATAGTATTAGCATTAGTTGGATTGTGCCCATTTGGTTTACGATTATGGTGGTAGGATAGGCAATTCTGACATTTGTCGGCATATATGCAGTGTTTTTTTTCCCCTGGGGGGGACGCAGGGGTATGCATACCCCTAAACATTTTGTGAATCTAAGTTTGGCCGCATTGAGGGGGCAGTATTTCAATATGAGTAGGAAAATGAGAGTACCCCTAAACATTTTTTAAGGGGGGGGGGAGCACTGCACATATGCCACTTTTGCTCTAGGCTTTTGCCATTCTGGCTATTGAGGCTCTGAGTTTGGTCATTTAATGGTCTTTCCACAATGCCTTGCCATTATTAAACAAAACTTTTTTTAAAAAAATAAAGAAGACTGCTGACCTGGGATAGCATATTCAGCAGGTTTCCAAATTCTCCAGTGCTTGTTTATTTAATAATTATGGAGCGTGATTATGGTAATGAGCTGAGTTCCAATTTACACACATTAGCCATGCATTTTAATGATCTGATTATACAAACTTGAGATACAGTAGATTTAATTTTATATGAAGAAATTTGCTAGCAAGCTGGATTCAAAAGGAAATGGGCTGGGGAAGACTGGAGTCGGTGGGGGTGGAATCAAGCAGACGGGTGATATCTGTAGGGAATTAGTGTGGGTTTGTAATGAAATAACTGGATCAGAAGGAAGAAAAAACACCATGACAACTATTATAACACATTCAGATTATCCCTGAGTGCCTAAGTATTGCTGAATGACAGAAAACAATGCATCCCGTTGGGTAGCAAGTCCTTTAGAATCATAGAATCATAGAGTTGGAAGAGACCACAAGGGCCATCGAGTCCAACCCCCTGCCAAGCAGGAAACACCATCAGAGCACTCCTGACATATGGTTGTCAAGCCTCTGCTTAAAGACCTCCAAAGAAGGAGACTCCACCACACTCCTTGGCAGCAAATTCCACTGTTGAACAGCTCTTACTGTCAGGAAGTTCTTCCTAATGTTTAGGTGGAATCTTCTTTCTTGTAGTTTGGATCCATTGCTCTGTGTCCGCTTCTCTGGAGCAGCAGAAAACAACCTTTCTCCCTCCTCTATGTGACATCCTTTTATATATTTGAACATGGCTATCATATCACCCCTTAACCTCCTCTTCTCTAGGCTAAACATGCCCAGCTCCCTTAGCCGTTCCTCATAAGAGCATCGTTTCCAGGCCTTTGACCATTTTGGTTGCCCTCCTCTGGACACGTTCCAGTTTGTCA